GTGGGTTTGAAGGCTTAGAGGACGGGCCTTTGTTGTTATCGGTCTAGAAGAGTGGACCCGGTTTAATGTAAAAACCGAAAAATGATAACGGGTTATCGGTCTAGAAGAGTGGACCCGGTTTAATGTAAAAACCGAAAAATGATAACGAGAGTCAGTACCGCATTGCATGAGTTGCATTGAGTTGTTGAGTCACATTGATATATGACATATGCATGAAGAGATGCTTATGTGTGAATGATAAGATTGTGGAAATGTGAGTGTATGCATGATGTGGAAATGCTTTGTGAATATTCATGTTGTCTATATATGTGTGGTAAATATATATGACTAAGAGGGTGAAAAGTGGTGAGAATTGTGGAATATGCGTATGTGCATTACTTGTGTAATTGAGAAATGTGAATGTGTAATAGTGAATTGGTATAATTGATGGGCTTTACGTGAGCCATATGGCATGGATAAAATTGTTGATTTAAGTTATGCTTACGTATGTGTACATGACTTGTGTAATTGAAAATGATGAATATGTGATTGTTAGGAGAAGTGTGCATATATACATGATATGTTGATTTAAGAGTGGTGAGTATGTGAGTGTTGTATGAAAGTATGCTATGTGCATGATAATATGCTTGATGATCAACCATGTTAGTTTATATGATGAGGTAATTGAGAGGTATGTGTGAATTGAATATGAAATGTGGTGAGAAATGTGGCATATATGTATTTTATGATTACTTCTATACATAATTATATGCATTGATTATTATGGTAATATTTCTCACCCTTCTGTTGGAATGATGTCCTACATGACATCGTGCAGGTATAAGAGTAGAGCCGTTCGTTGTTGCAAAGTCGCTGTTGGTGCAGCAGTTTAGTATCTTTATTATGTTGGGTCGAGTCATGCTCTGATCGTGTAACACTGGGATCGCTTGGTTTATATTTTAGAAATATACTATGTTTTCTTGTTTATTAAAATAATAATAAGTTGGCCTTAGTGCCCGAGCCTTGTTGATTTATGTGATGAAAACAAATATTTCTTTTATGAAAAATCATTGGATAAATGAATCCGCTGCTACATGCTAATTGAAATTGTAAAACATGATTATTCATTGAAGTGTTGATGAGCATGACAGGTGTTTGAAAGTTTGAAGTGTGACACCCTTGGTTGAATGCATGTTAATTTTACTCTGATTATTTTAATTAATTACGGGGATTAGAGGGGTGTTACAATGTACATGATGTAACTATGCAAAGGATAATGCAATTGAAACATAACCCAGGTGAAATAGGTTGAGCAAATTTTAGGGTGCAACATGAGGTTCTTCAGAAGTTTTCTGCTTTTTCTGCTGCGTGCTTGCAACTTCTTCTTCTTCTAACTCCTGTTTTCTCTGCCTTTTATGTTCCTCATACAAATCTGGCATAGGTTCACGGTTTAGAAATCCTTCTGGAACTGGAATTCCTTGTTCCATACATGAGCCAACATACTTGATCAGAACTTCCTTTGGTTCTTCTGCATAAAACGTTGGAAAATTATCTACAAGAATTCTTCGTTTGCTTACTTCTTCTGTATTGAGTTTGTCAGGAACAGAGGTAAGTTCATCTATTACTTTCAACCTCTGTAAACTTTTAGCATTCAGAACTTTTCCAAGAATGGATGTAAGTTCTTCTTTCAGTCCAGCCACATGCAGATGCGCCACCAGACCATTCTCTGTCACAATGTCTGAAATCAATCTTCCACAAGGGATCCAATTTCTACCCTTTGCCTGTTTTTCCTTCATGTTTTCTCTGGATGCCTTAACATGATTCTAAAGATGAGGGAAAAGCAGATGAGGCAGATCTACCTTTGTGCTCTGACTAAGACAGAACATAAAGTAAAGTTGATCATTATTCACATAGTCAAGAGAGTTTGTAGACTTCCTGTGATGAATGCAACCCATGAAAATTTTAGCCCAGATCTTGTAATTTGGCTTCAAATCTTTGAACTTGTTAGAGGGTTCTCCAGAAGCAATCACCTCTTCATAAACAACTTCCATATTGACACGCCCAGTTAGACGAGAAACTCCATCAGTTTCTTCATATCCTATCAGTTTCCTTATAAGATCCTCAGTAATCACAATTTCTTTTCCCAGAACAAATGACACAATGAACTTGGGATATGCATTAGCATGAATCCGAAATTCTTTTACCAAAGTGGATTAGGGCTATGAATGGAAACTTTGGTGAGTGGCAAAGTGGTGATGATGATGGAAGGTGTGATCCATGTCAATTTTATTGGGTGCCTATGGTGGATGCCACTATACTTGCCTAAAAATTCTAGATACGTGGCACCCCTAGGCTGGTAGGGGTGGCTGGAGGCTTTAGTGTTTCTAGGTGTTAAGACAAGCTCACGAGGGTGAGGATCCATGGTTTAGAGGTGTTTTATATATGGTTAGAGCAAGCTTATGAGGGTGATAAGATTTGTTACTAGGGTATTTTTAGTGAATATCATAATTTCCTCCTCAACGCTAAGGGTGAGATATTTATAGAGGCCTATAGGTATGGATTTTGGGAATCCTAAGAAGTAGCGATCGTTCCACTTTGACCATGAAGCTCATGGACTACCTACTTCTTATGAATCATGGTCATGACTATTTCTACAGGTGGTTACAAACATCTTACACGTCACTATCCACATTTCCTCCCTAAGGTGAGCCATTGGAAGGGGCATAGTCATGTCTAGGTGACATACTCTTAGGAGGGCTACTACAAGTTGGCCCTCATGTTACCCCACACATGCCTTTTATAAATATCTCAATACACTACTCATTTGAATATTTCATTAGAGGGGTTCCATAACATAGCCCCTTAAGGTTTGTTTATGACCACATTCAGGCCTTGTGGTTATCTGCCTTATTTCATTAAATTTCTTTGTAATTTTAATTAGTTATATATCTTATTTTAACATGCCATTTTGAGTGAGCATGTTTGCTCTATGCGACGAGTTTCTAACCACACCTTAGGATTTTTCTTTAATGAATATGTTTATGCCTTTTGGCTATTTGTTAATGAAATTCTTAGCATTATGGCTTTTATGTTATTCAAGGCACTAGGTGAGGTCGTCTGCCAAGGTAGAAATTATTTCTCGTTTAGTGTTAAATGAATAGTTTATTGAGACGACAAACGTCTTTCCATGAGGGTCTAACATTTGTATCACCTCTAAGGGTGACAAGGATCTTCCCATGGAAGTCCAACATTTGTATCACCTCTAAGAGGGGGCAAAGACCTTCCTGTAGAAGTCAAACATTTGTAACACACCTAAAGGCGACAATGATCTTCCTATAAAAGTTCATCATCTTCAATAGCATAAAAATTCCTCCTGCCTTCAATGTACATGCTACATAATTCATACAACTTAAAAAAGAGAAGGGTAACTTCCTTAAAAACCTTTGCCCATATAGGGGAAAAAATGACGTCCCATTATTCAAACTTATAATTTGAAAAATTCTCAAATAAATCATGTATATGGTAGAGACAAAGTCTTACCTTATTCAAATAACCATTGAAATGACTAACTAAAATATAGTCTTAGATCCGCCAAACCTTATAAATTTGCTGCCTTGCTGGTAATCTTGCTCAATAAATCCATACTTTCAAACTTAGTTCAATCTTCTTGTATTTTGATACACATTTGCACTTTGATATATTTCACCTCTTTAAGGATGACTTGCTCACCCAGAATGGTGAAAAGCCGTGTGCTTTAAGGTTGTTTTATGTGTTTGGAGTATTTGGAAAACACATATGTCTTGCTTACCCGTAATGGTGAAAAGCTCTATATGTGTGTTTTTTGGGAAATTGAAGATTGGAGGGATTCCTTTTCAGTCCTAAGATTGAGGTATTTATAAAGGCTCATTGGATCTGATAGTGGGAGTAGTGGATGACTAGTTTTTCTTACATTTTAAGGATTATTTCAATGACTTGACTTCTTATATAAGTTATTGTGATAATATGTCACTTTCCACGTTGTATTGAATATATGGATGATAAGCTAGTTTGGGTTGGCCTAGCCCAATCAAGGCGTTTTATGGTATACTCTGAGTGACTTGCATCACAACTTTAGGCGGCTTGTATGCTCGCTTGGAGCCTATGAGTTTGACCCATACTTCTTATTTATCGAGTGTCTTTTGTTAGACCTAGTAAAATTATTCTAGTCAGAAATTATTAATCGAGATGATAAATCTACACTCATTATACATCATCACATATATATGAGAGGGTTGAAAGTTATTAGTGAATTATAAATTCGTGATTACATAGATAGATGGAGGATGCATAATTCTTTGTTCTCAATTTTTATGAGAATGCAAATTATGTGATGAGTAAAAAAAATCAATTTTTTTTTTTTTTACTTTAGTAAAAGAGTGTATTTTAGACAACACACCAAATATGGGCGTGGAAGTGCGAGGTTTATTCCTATAATGAGGCCCATCGAATAAAATCCGAACTCAAAGTCCAAATTACATCATTTTAAAGAAGCCCATCATCATCCTATAATGAGGCCCATTGAATAAATAAACAGATTTTAACAATTTATTGCAAACCTAGCAAAATTTTCGGCAGCCGCCGTAAATCACACACGCCGCTGTTTCATCTCCTTCGTATCGTAGTTTTTCATTTCTTCTTCATCATACCTCCTTCTTCCACCGTTATTCTTCAGGTATCTTTCTCTATATTCTTTTTTCTCAAACAATCTTCGTTATGGCGATCGCGAAACTCCTCGACGGAAGCTACTTGCACCGTCTTGTTTTCTTGAAAATATCTGAAGCTGCCGCCAGTGATGCATTTCTCACCTGACATCGCTGTAGCAGTGCAGCGGCGGCGGTTTCGCATCGCCTCGATTGCGCCTCTATTGGCCGCAACTAACTGCCTATATTTTATTGTTTAAGTATTAGGGTTGTTTTCTGTATGTATTTTAATGTTTTTTAATTTGATTATTGGTTTGATTTAATTACTAGGGTTTGTTAGAGATGGCTGGAGAAACTGGTATGTTCACGGTCCAACGAACAATTGGCAGTGTTAAGTGTTGCAAATGTGGGATTCTAATGCAACCAAACGCAGCCAATATGTGTGTTAAGTGTTTGCGCTCTGAAGTTGATATCACCGAAGGGTTGCTCAAGCGTCTCGTGCTTGTTCATTGCCCTGACTGCGAAAGTTACTTGCAGCCACCAAGAACTTGGGTCAAACTCCAATTAGAATCCAAGGAGCTCTTGACATTTTGCTTGAAAAGGTTGCAGAAGAATATGAATATCAACAAAGCAAAGTTGGTGAATGCTGAGTTTATATGGACTGAGCCGCATTCCAAGAGGGTGAAAGTTAAGGTCAGTGTTCAGAAGGAAGTTTATCATGGCGCGATTCTTGAACAGTCTTATCTTGTGGAGTATGTTCAACAGGATCACATGTGTGAATCTTGTTCTAAGGTTGCGGCGAATCCTGATCAGTGGGTTGCTGCTGTGCAGCTCAGGCAGCATGTTTCTCATAGGCGGACTTTCTTTTATTTGGAGCAGCTGATTCTGAAGCACGGTGCTGCTGCTCGTGCTGTCCGAATCAAACAGATGGATCATGGTATTGATTTCTATTTCACCAGTCGAAGTCATGGTAACAAGTTTGTTGAATTTATAGGGAAAGTATCTCCTATAAGGAGTCGTAGCGATAAACAACTTGTTTCTCATGATGTAAAGAGTAGTATTTATAATTATAAGTACACATTCTCTGTTGAAATCAGTCCCATTTGTCGTGAGGATTTGATTTGTTTGCCTCCTAAAGCAGCTGGAACCTTGGGAAACATCGGTCCTATTGTGATTTGCACCAAGGTTACTAACAGCATTGCTCTGCTTGATCCGCATACCCTGAAATTTGGTTTCTTAGACGCTGATCAGTATTGGAGGACATCCTTTAAGTCCTTACTTACTAGCAGACAGTTAGTCGAGTATATCGTGTTGGATATTGAGCCTGTTTCACCTGAGGTTATCATTGGTGGCACGAAATATGTTTTAGCTGACGCTCAAGTGGCTCGAATGTCTGATTTCGGAAAGAATGACATAATATTCAATATCAAAACTCACTTGGGCCATCTTTTGAAGCCGGATGACTTAGCACTTGGTTATGACTTGTATAGTGCAAACACTAATGACATGGAATTGGACAATTACAGAGGTGATGTTCCTGAAGTGGTTTTGATAAAGAAGAGTTATGAAGAGAAACGACAGAAGCGACGCTCGAAGCCTCGTGCATGGAAGCTTAAGTCACTTGTTATGGAAGTTGATGAGAAGGTTAATGAAGATAAGATGGCTTCAGAATATGAACAATTCTTGAAAGATATTGAAGAAAACCCTGAGTTGCGGTTCAACATATCTTTATACCAAAATAAAGACTATCAGCCATCAGAGGTGACATCTGTAGCTGATGGTGAAGAGCTGCCTTCGGTTCCATTCAATGAGTTGCTGGCTGAGCTTGACGATCTTGAACTGAGAGATGATGATGATGATGAGGAAGAAGATAAGATGGCAGAATAAGCCAAAGTCATTTTTAACCAGAAATAGAAATTTGTGCGTATTGAATCTTAGTTTTGTTGATGTCAAAGGTACTTTTTGTTTCTATGTGCTGTTTTAATTTTCAAATTGTGTTGATGGTTTTAATTTCCGCAAGAACGAGTGAATGGTTATTTTGCAGATATAGTAATAATACGTACAATTACTTCTCAAACTGTATTGTAGTTTTCTCTTAAAGTTTGCTTGCCTGAATTTTATATCCTTCCTTTCTCTGGTTAAGTTTTTATTGATCATTTTAGTATTATTCTTACTTTAAAAATGAACATAACTATATATTTATTCACTTACCACTTTGTGAACTGTTATTAGCTACTCTTTTCATTTTGCATAAATATGAACTTAACTATTTGTTTATTCGTCCGCATTTTTTCACACCATCAACCACTTCATTGCTATGAAAATATCAAGTTCTTGATATTTTTATCTGATTAACCATTTTGTAAAACGAATTGGTCCACATTTTCACTCTATTAAACCATTTTTTGAATTGTTATAAAAATGATCAATTCATTTTTCAGTAGAGAATCAATTTCTAAATTGAACTATTAACTGCATCATTAAAAAATATTTTACTAGTCCAATAGTTCTCAAGTCTATTGAACACTATGGGTTTAAATTGTGGTCATAGATGTGGTTGTGAGTATTGTGATTGCGTTCACTGTGGTTGCTATGAAGTGCATGTTGACTATTACATGGTGAATTTTAAACGAGAGATGGTTGTGAGTATTGTGATTGCATTCATTGCGGTTGCTATGAAGTGCATGTTGATTATTACACCGCTATGAAGTGCATGTTGACTATTACATGGTGAATTTTAAATGAGATGTTGACTATTACATGGTGAATTTTAAATGAGATGTTTGAAATATACCGTTAATGTTAAAAAATTTCATTATATTAGAAGTAAATTAAGTTTTAGATTATGAAATTTTGAATTTTGATGAAGATATTTGAAGAAATTCAGGTGAAAATGTCTGATTTTTAATGATTTTTGGACACATGATTTCATTTTACACAGCAGTTATGATCCTGTGTGATTGGGAAACTATCATCACATCATCAATTGTGGTTGCAAACTGCAATTTAAATTTAAAACCATGACTAACACACTACATACATCGACAAAACACCTAAATTACAACATATAGGAGGCCTATGACAAAACTTTCCTAGCACTATCTTAGCTCAATCAACAAAAACAAAATCAAATGGCATCACGTATGCATCTCTTAAACTTGATCAAACCCCTTAAAAGTCATATTTCACAAACAAAAGTCTTCACACAATAGCAGGAGCATTTGAAACACCTTGAACTTTCATCCTCTAGTATTTCTTTTTATCTTTTGTTTTTTTCACTAACATAGGCACAATACTACTGGCTAAACCAAAATGCACGGCACCGAATATGCTATCTGTCTTTCTTTCAAGGGTGAAAGTGAAGCACTTGAAAAAAAAAAACTCCTGCCGTCATTCGAGCTAAATACAACACATGACTAAAATAAACTATTCTACCATAAGACAAAACTGGTTAAATTTTATATTATTTATGAATGAATGAAATGTTAAATTTTAGATTTACAAGAGAGATATACAAACTCTACTAAAAAAGAGTATATTTCACTTGGTTTTTTATTCACAGCAAATCATAGTTAAAAAACTATCATACTCCACCGAAAAAAGGTATACTTTAGTTGAAGAAAAATCAGTCGGAATTTTCACATATCGAAAATTAGATTGAAAACTTATGATGTCACTTCCATGTTGTCTAGAATCTCTTCAACCATTGACAAAATGCCACAACAAACTTTGCATGAATATCCACGTGTTAATCCACTAGTAATAATATTCTTTTCCACGAGAGCAGAGATATTATGAGGATACACTTCTCAAATTTGTAGAAAGTATCATCATCTTCCAAAGTAAAAGAGATATTGCTAGCAGATATTATGAGGATACACTTCTCAAATTTCTAGAAAGTATCATCATCTTCCAAAGTAAAAGAGATATTGCTAGCATTTCACTTAGAATATTTTTTTGACAATTCTATTACGATGCTTATTCTTTATATATTCTAACTTTTCACATTTTTAACATCTCACATCCATTTCATACTTTTTCTTCACACAAGATTTTGCACTAACAATGGACATTGAGTTTGATGATATATTATCCTCCCTCTTCAATCATACTTATTCAAAAACATTTTTATTGTCAACTTTTTAAAAAAATAATGGTTTTCTTTTAATATATCAAAGTAATTTAATATGCTCATAAGAAGACGAAAGAGACCATATAAGTCTCAAATTTTTATCTTCATTATCAATATCGAGTCCAATAATTTCTAATTCAAAAACAATTGAGAGAGAGAGAGAGAGAGAGAGAGAGAGAGAGAGAGAGAGAGAGAGAGAGAGAGAGAGAGAGAGAGAGAGAGAGAGAGAGAGAGAGAGAGAGAGAGAGAGAGAGAGAGAGAGAGAGAGAGAGAGAGAGAGAGAGAGAGAGAGAGAGAGAGAGAGAGGTGTACGCCAAACTTATAGTGGTTCAACCATCATCCTTGATAAGCTTAACCCACCCTCTAATACCAAACTTATAGTGGTTCAACCATCATCCTTGATAAGCTTAACCCACCCTCTAATATTTTCCCATTGAATTTTTTTGTTCTTCCAATATTATTTGTGACAAATTACACGAGTTTTTATTACTATCACAATATTTGAGTCACACAATGTGATTCGAGTCACATGATTTGAGTCATACATATTTGTGATTCGAATCAGAGTTTCAGAGGAAAAATAGAAATCTTTGAATTTAGTGTGACTTGAGTCAAACATTCTTGTGATTCAAGTCACACGGTTTGTGATTCGAGTCATGTAGTCTTTGAATCGAGTTATGAAAACATGAAATGAATCCTTAGCTCCTTGGAGGCCTGATTCAATTAAGATTAATAATTCAATTCGTGTAACATTGGCAACACCTCAATTTTACAAATTTTAAAAATATTTTTGATATTTTACCATAGTCATTATTTCAACCCTTTTCACACATAGTTCTTGATCCAAAAAAACAATATACTAACTCTAGGCATATTGCTTAAATTTAGACCATACACTTTGATTTATGCACGCTTAAACACAAATTAAAAAAATCCAGAGATGCACAATTGATGAGGAGACTTAATAACAAAAACAAACAAAACCAAAAGATTAAAAGATAAGAAATCAAACAATAATCCTTGAGGTATCAGAGACATGCAATGAAACTTCACTTTACTTAACATACATAAGACATGCCATTAGCTTCTGTGTTTTCTAGTTAAGTCAATATTTTTCCAACCTAACAAAACTCTATCTAGAGGCTGTTCTTAGAATCCTTTGTTATATTGAGACTGCACATACTCAATGATTTATTTGCATGTCAACCTCCAACAACACTATACAAAGGTTACATACTTTGATTGAGGATCATGTTAAGAAATAAGACGTTCCACAATGTTCTTCTGCTTTTATCTAAGAAGCTCCATCATTTACTAAAATAAGCAACAAAAAAAACATTTAGTTTCAAGATCATCTTCTGAAGTTCTAGCCAAACTTATTCATCTCATGCATACGTTTCAAGATCATATATTCGCAAATAGTAGCAATACTCATTTAATTTTTTATCTTGGCATATATTAATGTTTTGATGATTGCATGTAACAATATGGATGATATCTTAAGCTTAATACTCATCTTGAATGCAAAATCTAACATGTAAGTGTCGCAACTGCGAAAAGGGTCGGCGAAAACAAACAGAAGAGTCGCCACCGAACGTTATTTATCCCAAAGAGAGGGAAAGAAAGCGATAGAAGAAAACCTAAAAGAACGGGAAAAGACAAGGTCATCGTAACCAAATCTTGGGTTCGGGAGTCGGCTACGCAAGGGGAATGTATGAGCACCCCTCACGTCCGCTGTACTCAACGGGATCCACTCTTGTCGTCTATCAAAAGGGGCGAGTTATCTAAAAGCTACTGCTAAACGGGGGAAGGAAAAGGAAAAGGAGACTTGATAGGACATCTCCGCCCTGTGCCTACATATTCCCTCGTGCAATGGGAAAGTCAGAGTCAACATAGTTTAGAAAACTACAATTGATTGGGGGAAAGTTGCTCGCCAAGACATCGCCGTCTTGTGCCTGCGTATCCTCATCTTGTATGAGAAATCAGAGCAAATGTAGTTCAGGCAACTAGACCACTAGTTGGTTAAGTGTTTTTTTATGAGTCACGTTAAATTCCCATTCCAGCAGTTAGGATCGATGTCTGTTTGCGGTAGAACGGAAAGAGAGCATACTCTTTTCTGAAAATAATTTGAAACACAATCCCGAAGGATAAAAAGGTTTGAATTTGGTTTAAAAGTTTTAAAGAAATGAGTTGAATTTGTTTGAGATTCCCATTGCACTAAAGACTATGATATAGGAGCGAACACGTCGCATATCGCCCAAAGAGCACACACTAAACACTCTAGACAAGTGAAGAGAAACCCCCTTACTCATCACTTCCCACATACTTAAGGCTCATGGCGCACAATGTTCATCATTCTTTATTAGGTGTCTTAAGATTGTCTGAGATGAGAAGAGAAGACACAAAAGAAAACACTAAAGGGAAACTGAAAATCCTAATGTTGTCATACAAAATGGTCCTAAGGTTAGGATGAAAAGGAAGTATACTTAATGTTATCATACAAATGGTGGACCTAAAGTTAAGGTGAAAAGGGACTATCTTAATTGTTATCATGCAAAGGATTGAAAGCCTAATGTCTCTCCTACTCCCATCTTAAACAGAAGGACTAGGAATCCTAAGGGATCATGTGAGCAAACACAAGTAAACACCATCCAATTCAATCACAAATGAAAAAACGAATGAAACTTAAACAAGTCCCAAAAAGAAAAATAAGAAGAAAGAAAACATGCAAGATGAAGAACACACATGAAAACTC